CATTTTCATAGAATTGATCTCCAAGCAGAGCCTGCTGATATGAGGCATCTACGAGAGCGCCGTTCCGTGGGACGGCCATGGGATACAGCTCTGACGGCGGTGCAGGTGGTTGTTGCTGTTGTGCCCAGTGGTCCACGCTCATCCCCGAGAGGGAGACGGCAGCAGCCAGATCAGCCTCAACAGGCCCATGGGTTTCCCCCGAGTCCGGCTCCGATGGGACCCCCGGAGACTCAGATCCATCCTCATGGAAAGCGATCCGCTGATGGCGGGTCAGCAAGTCACGCCGGGCAAAGGCAGCTCCACATCGACAGATGAATGGCTTCTCCTTGGTATCTGGAAGAACGTGCCGGTTAGCTTCGTAGCACGTGGCAGTATCCCGAGCGTCTGGTCATGGAATGGGCTAGTAGTGTAGCGCCAGCAGGAGGGGTAGCTGATCGTTGACTCCAGACATACATCACTCCAACACTTGGAGGAAGCTGAGGGAGGGGGGACGACTGACGCGTTCGCACATGGCGCTCCAAGTGCTCGGTGCGCTTGAACGTTCGTCCACAGTGAGGACAGGACCGCGCATCAGGGCCGTGACCGGTTCGCCTCCTTCGCTTGACTGGAGTCGAGTGCGGTCGCGGAAGCTGCTGCTGCGGCGGCTGCTGCTGGTGAAGCGGCTGCGATTGCGGCTGCGGGTGCGGCTGTGGATGCGAGCTCGTGCCGTTGTGGGACAGCATCCTTCCCACCTTCGCTTCGCGAGACTCTTCGGGCTTCTTGCGTGTTGGAGTTGAGGGAGACCAGGTAAGTTGGAGAGCAGAGGCTTTGGGGCATCCATCAGGCTTATGTTGGAGAAGACTGCAGCTGCTTGTGGGTCTTGCTTGACAGAGATAACTCCAACTGCCGTGGATTGGATCGCCCGCTATCTTTGGAGACTGACTCGTAATCAGACACCCCCTTGGCTCTCTACGACCCTGCGACCCTGCAACCCAACGCCCTTATCTCACGGAATTAGCCTTTGGAGTCTATGTAATGTCGAGGGTGTTAATGATCATCATTCGCTTGAGACAGACAGGTCGGCCTTCCCTGCTTTATTCCGAAGTCGTAACCGTAACATTGAGTTATTCGGAAGTTGTTTGCTCTCCCCGCAGTATCCACCAAATACGTGTTTGTGGACCAAGAGACATTGAACTGGTCCGAATGCTGATTCAACCATCGAGACTGCTGTCAAGCCTACATCTATAATCAGAGCAGAGCTGGATTTGGAGATACATCAGACCTATGCGTCTCGAGACATAGTTACCAAACTCTCGTCATGTTCAAATTTCCTGGAGTTGCTTTCATTACTGGCGCAGGAGGGACTGGTGAGTCACAATTTACATGGCGCTGTGAAGCTCATGGTCGCGTCCTTCAAGCTCTAACTCGATTAATACCTAGGCATTGGTGCTGCAGTCGCAAAGGGGTTCGCGCGATCAGGATGTTCAAGAATTGCCATCACAGACCTTAATCAAAAGTCACTCGCAGATACGAGAGATGCCATTTTACAAATCAATCCAGAGGCACAGGTGTTTAGTCAAGAAGGCGACATCTCGAACGAAGGTTTTGTCAATTCATTCGTTGGAGATATTGCCAAGAAGTTCTTACGGATCGACTACTCAGTAAGCTGCGCCGGCATCCTGGGCCAGTCACTGCGGTCACACGAAACGTCAACAGCCGATTTCGATCTCATCACCAATGTCAACTACAAGGGTAGTTGGTTGGCATCTCGGGCGGTCTTGAGCCAAATGCTCAAACAGCAACCCCATGAAGAGCATCCAGAACAACGCGGCGCCATCGTCAATATTGCGAGTCAACTCGGCCTTGTGGCGCGACCGGCTGCAGGTACGTTTAGCCGCTCCTTGAGGTAATAGGTTGTGTCGCACAATTACTCACATAATGCTTTCGTGTCAGCACCGTACTGCGCGTCCAAAGCCGCCATCATCAATATGACGAGGTCAGATGCCATTGACTATTCGCAAGAGAAGATCAGAGTCAACTGCGTCTGCCCGGGGGTCATCGCCACGCCAATGACAACAGCGTCAAAAGAGTTGGTACAACGACTGAGGCCCGCAATCGACATTGCGCCGATGAAGCGTATGGGTACACCGGAGGAGGTGGCTAACGCAGTAATGTTCCTGTGCTCGAGCCAAGCCAGCTTCATCCAAGGCCATGCTCTGGTCGTCGACGGAGGCTACACCATCAACTGAGAATTGATAATGGCAACTCAAATTTCATCGGATACGGTCACACCCGTACTACTTCGTGGTAACACTTTCCACAATCGTGACTGTGAAATGCTGATAGGACCTTTTCCTATTTGAATAGTCGAGGCTCTAACGCAGGTACAGAAGAAGCCGCATAGCCGGCAAAGCCGACCTTTGTTAGATTTTATACCAAAGTGTTGACTTTTGTTACGATCTGAGTCCCTTTGACAGCACGCTACCCAGTCATCCTACCATTGACGACAAGATCCTCGGACTGAAGATAGGTCTGGCCCTTGGAGTCTCGCCTCACAACCTGTATCGTTCGATGAGATACACCTTGATCGTCCATTTGCAAACTGTCAGGCCTCATTTGAGATTCCGTCCACAGGTCCGTCACCCTCATCTCCCCGGGAGGCTGCACAAACGATGGTGAAGACACGGGCCGCCCACTGATATCCAATTTGATGTCGTGCTCGAGCTCAATGATTTTCCTTGCAGCCGCGACTAGGACGTCTGCTTCCCAAAGATTTTCCCGCGGGAGACCCAACACTGGCATCAGCCGTAGGAACTCCAGTCTCGTTTCTAGATCACGACAAGATGAGACGAGAAAGAATAGCATGGCGCCGAAGCCAGCTTCGAAGATGAAGTGTGGATGTTTTGAAGTGTTGAAACGTAAAGGATCTGGAACCTCGGCTTCCAGCCAGAGAAGCCGCTTTAGGATTCTTCGGAAGTTGGTGATGTATCTATCGTAGCCGGCTTCGCTTGTATCGAATGCCATGTTGAGCCATATGCAACAGCACTCATACCGAGTCAAGAGAAAGCATTGCAGCATCTTTGGCCTATCTGAGTCTGACCGGCTGATGATTTGATTGTTCTGTGTAGGTGCTTCCTTGGGTTTGATAGCCATGAAGTCATTGTAAAGCTTGAACCACTGGTCTAGTAGACCGTTGATGGCAGCATGCTCAGAGAGAAGACTCGGGGGCGGTGTCCCGGTATCATCGGGTCCAGGCGATTTTGAAGCGGCTCGTTGTGAATTGCGCTGTGAGCGCATGAACTCTGCTGTTCGATTGAAGAGGACATCGAGCATGAGCTGTGCGTCTGAGAAAGTGAGAAAGAACTGCGGCATGGGTCCCTCTAGGGCCCTTATGTCAGGGAAATCCGACTCTTCTTCGCCGAAGAAAAGAGCGAACTCGCTAAGCCGCCGAAATATCGGTAGGAGGTGCTCCATGGTCCACGAGAACATGTAGTCGGGAGAGATACTCTTCAGTATCTCGACACCATGTCTGCTGTGCTGCAGTGCTGCTTTTCTGTTGACGCGCATGATCTCCACGCAGATGAAGAGAACGCAAACAAGCAAGATTATGGGCTGCTTTTCTTGAGAGTCCATGACTCTCAACTCGTGAATAGCGGCATTGTAGTGGTGTAGGGCCAAATTTTGATTGCTGTGCCGTACGGTGGCAGTAGCCTCAAAATTGCCCTGAGCCTCTTCATAGAGACTGCTGATGGAAATGACGGCGTGTCTGACGGCCGGCTCGAAGTTACTGAACTGCATCACGACGTGTGTCCAGAAATAGGGATCCACGGCTCCTGACATGACTGGTCCCGCTATCTCGCAGAAGTACTGTAGAGCTCGACCTTCGCTGACCTTGGTGACTCCCGGGAAGACTTGATTTGGCTGGTGTAGGGATACGATTCCTTGACGAGCGGGTCTGTAGCCATCGCAGCGTCTGCCTGTACTGGTGCAGCGATTGCATATCGGCTTAGCCTCGTCGCACTTGACTTTGCGGGCTCTAAAGACCGTCAATTAGCTGCTGATCAGATGGAGACATATGGACCCCGTAAGTGCGGCACAGCCTGGATGGCTGACAGCCTGACACGCCTAGTAGACTTACTTGCAGGTGATGCATCCAGTCCGAACTTTGGGGCTTCCTTTGCGGACCATGTTTCTGTCTCGGATGTGTGCACAAGTTGGCAGGCCTTTACCGTCTGTTTCCTGACGCAGTAAGCCGCCAGGAGCAGCTTTGGGAAGGGTGTTGGGCTGTGCTTGTCCACTCGTCAGCTGGGAGAATTTGGCGACTGTTCGGCGGTGGAGATGGAATGAAGTGAATCATTCCGGAAGCGCTCATTCAAACGATGGCCGGGCGGAGAGCTATCTGTGTGACCAAACATGTCCCGTTTGCTGGGGTTCTTGTGGGGAGACAGGGATAGAAGCGAGCCGACCAATGTCAGTCCTGCGTTTGATCAATACTTGTCTTTCTAACATTAGCGAGGCACAGCATGAGCCCTCTCGCCGCGGTGACCGAGCGGCAAGGTGTCTTTGGTTACGACCATACGGGTAGTGCCGTTGGTGGTGCGGGGAAGTGAAATTGAGGTGTTCGGGCGGGCAGGCCAAGTCGGGTCTACCATTTGTTGGGAAGAGTTGAGCCGCAAGCGTTCATTCCCAAAGTGCTTGACCGAGTCTTGTGTATCAACTGCGGAATTGCTGGGGAACCAGGCGACACGTGGCGGACCAAGCAAATACCTAGAGCCAAGAGAGAGCGAGTGTCTATATGTGTATCACTGTAAGTGTGGCATAAGGTACTAGGCAATTAGGTCCTTGAGGCCGAGGCATGGCTCGAGATGGTGTGAGAGATCCCGACAACTTCCTTCTACTTTATGCTAGATACCTTGAAGCTATAGACATCAGACCCCTTGCGCCACAGGCTCCAAACCCAGATAGTTTGCTCTGAATGCAGCCCTTTGACTTGGTCTCGTAAGGCTCTCAAACGGCCAACTTCACACGCTTAAGACTTGGTGAAGTTGTGCCGTTAACCTCATCGTCCTGCCATTGACTTTGACATTTGAGCCCGTTGAGAGAGTATCTGGAACAGATTCAGGAGCTTCGGTGGTGCTCGTGACGCTCTTCCAGTCGAAGTTGGTCTCCCATGCATGTGCAATGGTGAGGATCTTCTTCTCTTGCCATAGCCCTCCGACAATTTGCATGCCAACCGGAAGTAAGACCTGCGCGTCATCTTTGGCGGCAATAAATCCCACGGGTATTGACATTGCTGGATGTCCAGTAACGTTGAATACGGCGGTGTTGGTGGTCAGTCCTATGGTGGGTTCAAATGAACCCAGCACAGAATCTCGAGGCCCATGTCGTGGTGCCACAAAAGGAGTCGTTGGCATGATTATCGCATCGTACGTTTGAAACTTGCTCTGATAGGCGTCGCTGATTCGCCGACCGATGTTGACTGTTTTGCTGTAGAGACCCGGGAACTTGTCCGAAAGATACAAGCCGTTGATGAAGGTATTCTTTGTGGAGGGGAAAAGCTTTTGAAAGCTCGAATCCACCCAGGGCAGTCGTGCCTTTTCAAACTCAGTCAGGCCAAGACCTCTGTGTCCCGAAGCTCTCCCCAGCATACCCGACGAGCCCGCAATACGTTGTTGTATTGTCCATATTGAAGGGCCTTCCAGATGAAGAGGGACGGATACATGCTCGACAATTGCCCCTAGAGACTCCAGTCTCCGGGCGGCCGAAAGGACGTGGTCTTTGACTTTGGGGTCGACAATTTCTTGATCGAAGCCCTCCCTCAGAAGGCCAATCTTGATTCCGTCCAAACGACCGGAGCTCGCTGACAGAGCGGCAGAGAAGTTATAGGAGCCATGAGCCGCAGCGCCTAGAGACTTATCGTCGATGCCGTCGTATCCGGAGATCACATCAAGACACTCAGCAGCTTCAGTGACCGAACGGCAAATGGGCCCTGCATGGTCATCAATAGCATCACCGCTAGTAATTCCCGTGAAAGGCACCAGACCGTGAGTCGGCTTCACACCGACGCAGCCGCAAAATGAAGCTGGAACCCGGATGCTGCCGCCTTGATCTGTGCCTAGCGCGATATCGATCTTTCCGGAACAAACAAGGGCGGCACCCCCAGAGGTGCTGCCACCGGTGGAGTAGCCTTCCTTATAGGGATTCTCGATTGTGCCTTGCGCGCTGGTGAAAGATGCTGTGGAGTTGCAAAAGTGCTCACATGTAGCCGTCCCCAGAATATCGGCTCCGGCATCCAAAACTCGTGTCACCACTGTGGCATCCGTCGATGGCGTCCAAGGAGGAAAAGCATCGCTCCCGAAGAATTGTGGAACGCCTGCTACGGCAATGCAATCCTTCAAGCATACAGTCTTTCCTTTCAGGCATACCTGAGACGGACCAGAAGCTGACTTATCTCCCCTAATCAAGAAACGATGTGCCCACGCATGCCCAAACTCTTGCTCTTCTGCTGTGGGTATATGTACATTCTCTCGGGGGTATCGTTTCGTGTCGGGGGCCGGTTGGTAGTCTGGAAGACTATCGATACGGGTAGCGCAATCGTGCACCGCAGCGAGCAGTCGCTGGTAGTCGGCCGACTCCTCAGCCTTGATCGTCAAACCGAGTGGCTCGAGCAGCTTCTCGACGTCGCCTTTCTGCACGGGGTTCTCCCTATGGCGTACCTGTCAGCATTCAGGCCGCATCAGGTAGGATGGGATTGGTCCTTACGTGGAGATGTCCTTGAAGAAAACAGACATGATGGGAGGTGGCAATCGTCGACGGTGTTCTGTTGGATCGCTGGTCACCGATGCGTTTCGATTGATTGTAGTGACGACTGATTAGCCAGCATGCTGTTCATAAAGGCTCGAAAGTAACATCCATGCTGAACCCACGAGAAATTGTCGGGGGCTCTTCCGCGGGCCATTGGGTCAATCTGTGGCGAAGGCGGGTTTCCGATGACACACAGAATGAAGTCGACATCAACGAACGTGATGGCAATATCCGTAGAATGCCCCCGCTACTCTGTGCCTCCAAGCCCCAGTAACACAAACCTACTGTGGCACGAGAGATTGTGGAGGGAGGGGCACAATGGTGTTGGGGTAATACGAAGATTGAGTAGAGAGAATTTGGAGACAACGTCTAACGACCCCAACTCCACCACTACTGAATGAGGATGACCCTAATGAGCGCTGGTACAACTCAGTGTCCGCAAAGCGGTTACAAGAAAGATGGAATTGGAGTCACATAGAAATCAGCCTTGAACTCCATCACGATAGATTGAGTCAATTAACCGGCCGCCAAGCTAGTAGAAAAATCGCGTGACCTTTCATCATTGTAACTCTCACGCTAACCCTGACCAGATTGTGGAGGGCCGTATGCTGTCTGTTCGAAAAAGCAGGAAACAACTAATTGAAATGCACAAAACACAAGACAACGTTCGATATTGCTAACATACTCAGTTAATAGGGTATCCTTACTCCGAAATGCGCACCACAAGCCTGCCTTTAAATCCGCTATCCTGATAAGCCACTACAATGCCCGGGATCTCGTCAAATGACATCAGAGTGATGTGAGACCTAATGCTGGCTCTCTCCACAGCCTCCATCATCCTTTCGGTGGATTCTCTACCCGCAACATAACTCCCCCGAATCGTGAGCTCTCTGAAAACGATGACACTAGAGTCAAACCTCCAATTCTCAGCAGGCAAGCCCAGGACTCCCATGACCCCTCCAATTCGTAGGATCGTCAATGCCCAACTGTTGGCTGATAGTGAGTCTGTGCAAACCACAACTGCGGCTACGCCCTCCCCGTTCGTAAAGTCCAAGATTTGAGAAGTCGCACGTTCCGAGCCAGAATCCACCACCAGCACCGGCTTGAGACTTTCATTGAACATTTCAGTAGCAAGCTGCCTCCCCGCCGGACGGCTGTCGACCGCTATGGCGCGGAAACCCATGGCGCTGGCAAATTGTAATCCGAGATGACCCAAACCTCCGATGCCGACAATAGCTACAGTTTCTCCTGCTTCCAGCTCACTTGTTGCTTTTTCGAGTGAGCCCCAAACTGTAGCACCTGCACACATCAATGGCGCCGCTTGCTCGAAAGATAGGGTCGGCGGTAAGCCGACAGTGGTCTCCGGATCTATGGCAAGATATTCCGCGAAAGCCCCATCATGATGAAAACCAGCGGTCTCTCTCTTTTCGCAGAATCTTGGGTCCAGAGTATGCTTCCTGCTAGTGCGAAGTGACAGACCGCAGCCACTGCATTTGCCGCATGAGTTCTTGTAGTTGAGAGCCCCAACTCTATCACCGACCTTCCATTTCTGATTGCAGTCTTTACCAACCTGAACCACGATACCGGCAGGTTCATGAGATGCGATCATGCCCAACGGTGACTTAAATTGTCCCTGTAAAACTTGTAGATCCGAGTGGCAGAATCCGGCCGCATGAACTCTGATAAGTAGCTCATTGCTGCGAATGGCCGGAGTTTCTCTCTCCACTAGCTCATATGGTTTGTTGTACTAATGGTTTGATTAGCTTTTCCTGAACTATCTCCTGGAGCATAATGCATCATGAGAACCGACTTCCTTTATCTGAGCTGCTCGCATCACCGGAGGAATGATGGGGTTTGCCATGATTTCCAAAAGAGAGCAGTTGAGGTTTGCCAAGGGCTTAGAACACGGACTGCGGTGCAGATCAAATTTGCTGTTCTTGATGTTTACTTGGTGCAAAAAATGAGGCCGTTGAGGTTGGAATATGGAGTTGAATTAGAACTTCAGACAATGGAGGGCTCGATCGAATTCTATTCTAGATGGGCTTATTCCACGGGTGACCAAGCTCCTGAAGGTTTCAAGTTGAAGAGTTGTCGATGGTTGTTGGCCGTTATCATCCGACTTAAAGAGGGGTCAAGTCGAGTCGTTGGAGCAACTCGAGCACCTCCCAGTTCGCCTCCAAATCTGTCGACCACGCCACGAATCCACCCTCTATTACACAAAAACTTTGGGTCTCCAACAGGACCATACTACGGCAGGTCCGCGACCGGATGGAGTCCTTCGCCCCTCTTAGACAATACCCCTCCTTTTTCAATACCACAGCTATGTAAAAGGACTGGATACAAGTGATCGGTGAAATAATGTGGATGGAGTGGTCAAATGCCCAATGGTTGCCGTCCAATCAAAGGTATCACAATAGACATCTACCCAGTCCGAGATCCCTGCTTCTGAACCTTACCTTCATAGGAGGTGAATCCACACAAGCTACCCCGCGATAAGCGAGCCAAGGCATGGGAAGGCATTGCAGAATTGATAGCATAATGAATCCCGATAAGATGATGAATACCCCTCAGTGACATGACCGACTGAGCCGCTACTAGGTTTGACTGTTTAAGAGGAATCCGCTCGCAGCGTGGCAGCAACCTTTTTCCTTTAGTCTGCCTTTCCCCGAACCCCGCACTAGTCTTTATCAACCCATTCGAGATCATTCCACCTTAGAGACCCCTCCCTGGCGAAGAATTGCACGGAAATCCAATCTCAACTCACAATGGGCAAGAAGCGTGTTCTCGTTAGCTATGGCGTCGATGTCGACGCGGTCGCCGGATGGCTAGGATCCTATGGAGGAGAAGATTCGTCCAACGATATCAGCAGAGGTAAGTATTGGGAGCTAAGGTAGTTGGGTATGCGTGGCCTACTTGAGCTTACGATTGAACTTTCCAGGTTATTTTGCCGGAACGATAGGTGTCCAACGGGTGCTCAAATTCCTCGCCAAGTACGACATCAAGGCTACATGGTTCATCCCAGGACACAGCCTCGAGACCTTTCCCGAGGACATGGCCGCTGTGCGAGACGCCGGCCACGAAATCGGGCTACATGGCTATTCGCACGAGAATCCGACAGATATGACCATCGATCAACAAAGAGAAATCCTTGATAAGACATATCGCATGCTCACAGACTTCGCGGGCAAGCCTCCAAGGGGTAGCGTCGCTCCATGGTGGGAAACAAGCAAGGAGGGGGCTCAGCTTTTGCTCGACTATGGTATCGAATACGACCACAGTATGAGCCACCACGATTGTCAACCGTATTATCTACGAACTGGCGATGAATGGACCAAGATTGACTACAAAAAGAAACCTAGCGAGTGGATGAAGCCTCTTGTAAGGGGACAAGAAACAGGGCTCGTGGAGATCCCGGCCAATTGGTACCTTGACGATTTGCCGCCAATGATGTTCATCAAAGATGCGCCAAACAGCCACGGATTCGTCAACGCCAGGGATGTGGAGGATATTTGGCGAGATCATTTTGACTATTTCTACCGCGAGTATGACGAGTTCATCTTTCCGCTGACAGTCCACCCGGACGTATCTGGTCGTCCTCACGCATTGCTCATGCACGAGAGGCTCATTGAACACATGAAGAAGCACGAAGGGGTGGAATTCGTCACCATGGAGCAGATTTGCGACGAATTCAAGGCGAAGACGGCACCGGCACAGGGAGCTGTGATGCCTGCAGAGCCTGGCGCCATGCTCAAGAAAGAAGCCGTAGGAGCATAGATACTGAGTTTACTCTTGTAATAAAAATTGATATCCGAATTCTCGACTCCACAAAACATTCATGCCTATCTATTCCACCTTGCTTCCCTCCATATTCCCATATTTGTTTAGCACATCACCTCCACCCCAAAGAGCTTGCGTAAGGGAATGAGAAACTTATGAGGTAAACTGCTCTGATGACTCCACGATTCATCTTTCCGGCGGCGCTAGCCATAAATGTTCAAATATACTTAGCCAGGAGGTTCAGGCGGACATCTCTACAGACTTGGCTCTGTATCCTACTGCAAGACGCTTGGAGTAAGTCCTCGTCGATGAAGTCCATTGACATACATGCCTCCAACGCTCGTCAACTTACCCCGCGCTTATCACTTATGATGCTCTAGTCAAACCAGTCAATGTGGACCTGTGGCTTTGGGGTATATCTGTTTCCAAGCCCGGAGCTTTCTAGACTCCAACTTCGGCACATGGGCTCGACAACTGCCCCAAGTTGTCACTAATACCCCAACCTTATCGCAGGAACCTTGTTTTGACCCACTGGCACTCCACAAACGCACATCCAACCCCTGAACGCGCTTTTGACTTTGGGTGTCGCCATGGGTCGGCGACCCACGATCTTGGAGCGGCATCTGGAGCTCGTCGCGGGGTTGGACAGTCTTTCCTTTCGACAGCTATCTTGCGTCGGAACATCTGTGCCGCTAGGAGATAAGCCACGCCAGGCTCTCATGTTCATCTCACTCGTCACAGTCGATATTACCAGATGCTCCAACTTCAACTAACAGGGACGATCTTATATTGAGGTAATGTCCGCGGCTCATCCGTCATACGATACGCCACGGACTCTGTAGAAGCGACCACTCAGCTGGAATCGGAATCCGCATCAATAATCGAAACCGCCGTCAAAATGTCTCAGACCAATTCTGAAAAGAGCGATGCCATAATACCGGCGCCGGCCCGGAGCAGCGGTAGCATCGACGCGGGAAAGCTCGAGAATGCTGAAGATGCTTTTGAAGTCTTCAAGCGCGGCGAAGGGACGGTTGACTTCCGTACTGTGGGATGGATACACGCCTCAGTAATCTTCTTGAAGGGTAAGAAAGCCTTATCCACTTATCCGCCTGGCAAGCAGAGGTGTAGCTAACAAATCCAAGTTATTTTCGCAACTGGTGTTCTCACAATCCCTTCAGCCATGTTCGTGTTGGGTGCGCTGCCCGGTGCC